TATATATATATATATATATATATATATATATATATATATATATATATTCAATCCTGTTACAAGTTGCAAGTACATGCCGAGACAGTTTTATTACATAACGAGTATTATAATCGGATAAAATCAAGAAACAATTAAAAATTTTCAAAAGGCCTCGAATGAAACTTTGGCAGCAACATATTCGCGATTATGTGAGAAGTCAAACCAAAAAAAAAAAAAACATAAATAAAAAGAAAAATGTAAATAGTGCAAAAACGATTGTACCACGAAACATTAATCATATTACACTTCTTCTTGTATACATTTCAGAAACTACAGAAGTACCAGCGCAACAACATCACATCACAATCACACAACACACAACAAAACACGATACGCCACAGTTGATTGAATCAGATACAGAGGTAATAGAAGAATATACAACGAAATTCAGACGCGGAAGCAAAGAACACGAGACCGCGGCAGTTAAAACAAGAAAACGATTATACGTAAGAAAAAGCCAGAAAACGAAGAAGACAATGTCGTCGTCATTGAGGAAGAATTAGAGGATATCAAGCCAAAAATACCATTCATACCAAAAAAACAATTTATGCCGATTGAAGAAATAACGACAACTACAGATGTCGAAGAGATAATACCGACGAGAATAGACGAGGTCGAGGAAACAGAGCAAAAAGAAGAGGAAAAAGTAGAAGTGACTCAAGTTCAAGATATGAACGAAACAAAGAAAGATATAAAAAAAATTATAGAGAAACGAGAAAAAACACAACACGTAAAAGAAGAAACTACAATAGAAGAAAAAGATAAATCAAAAACAACGGTGGTAACAAAACCAACTGAAATAATAGAAACAGCTGAGAAAATCAAACGAGAAAAATCTCTAAAAGAAGAAGTACCAGCAGAAGAAACAATAAAACCTCTTCCTGCTCCAGAAAAGATTAAACCAACGGAAGTGGAAGAAGTTCGAGAACAAGTGACAGTTACGGAGGAAATTACGAAATTGGGAAAACCAAAGAAAACTACTAAAAAGAAAATCGTCAAA